GAGTTTCACTCATGTTACCCAGGCTGGAGTGCAATGGCACAATCTCGGCTCACCGCAACCTCCGCCTCCCGGGTTCAGGCAATTCTCCTGCCTCAGCCTCCTGAGTGGCTGGGATTATAGGCGCGCCCCACCATGCCAAGCTAATGTTTTGTATTTTTAGTAGAGACGGGGTTTCACCATGTTGACCAGGATGGTCTCGATCTCTTGACCTCGTGATCCACCCGCCTCGGCCTCCCAAAGTGCTGGGATTACAGGCTTGAGCCACCGCACCCGGCCATGCCTCAGATTTTTAATTCTCCAGTTGCATTCACCAGGTGCCTGCTCATGATTAAGAATCCTGTGATGTGTGTCCCGTGTGTTTAGATTTGCTGTGGAGTTAACTCGGGGCCAGCCTGTGGACTAGATTCTAGTCCACATGCAGTGGGCAAGGGCAGGGCCAGGTTTGAAATCCTGCTCGTCTTTTCGGCTCCCTTGCAAAAATAATATCAGCAACGGGAATAGGATGCTGGAGGTCACCTGTGACAAGTTCGGTTTATGGCCATTTTACTTCTAGGAAGACAGAAAGCATCAGGAGCTCAGGGATCAGGGCAGCCAAAATGTCTTTCCACTCTGAAATAAAGGGGCTTCTCAGGAGTTCCCGGCCATGCTCCCCTGTGGGAACCCCCCGCACGCCACTTTTGTGAAGTGGACACGTGTTAGTCCCATTGAAAAGAAGCCATCCACCGCCGGTTCCCTCACACTGCACCGTCAGCTCCGGCCAGCTTGCAGGGACGTGGGCGCACAGCGGTTTGTGTCCTTGCTGGAGCCAGGCGGGGCACAGGGTCCCTCCTGGAGTCACGGGAGGGCTGCCTGGGTTCTATATTAAAATCCAGAGGCTACTGCGCGTGCTCGGGGAATGCAGCTCTGGCAGGGAATGAACCTGCTGTCTGTTCTTTGCCCCAGCCCCTCACCTGTCCTCCACACGCCTATCCCTGGCTCCCTTTCCCTCGTAAGGAGACTGAACTGAAATCGTGGCTTGCCTGAGGCCACATACCTGTGCTCCTTCTGAAGCCCACATTGCTGGTTCTAGAATTCTAAGCTGTGTTTGTCAAAATGCGTGTTTCTGTGCCCTGCCCCAGTTCCACAGCCCAGGAATCTGCAGTTTTCACAAGCACCCCCAGATGACTCTAGTGGTGTCTTTGTTAAGCACTTCTTCAAGGTGGTACTGCCTGGAACCCAGAATCCCAGGTTCCTTCACCCTCCTTGCCTGATGGCCTGGATGCTCTCAGATCTACAGGGGAAGGGAAGGTCACACAGCCATCGCCAATACCTCAGCTGACAAAGCCTCCCCGATAAAACTTACTTCCCAGTGTTTTTTTTTTTTAATAGGAAACAATAAAACTGCAAAATAAAACTGTAACCAGCCAAAATATCCATCAAAGAAAAAATGGAGAAGTAAATCATTGTGCATTCACCTGCACTGGATCTGTTGTAAAGCTAATAATATGAATGAAGCCCCTTCCAAGGCCCTGGGGGTCCTAATAGTGCACTGGTTGTGTCTATCATTTATATCATGAAATTTGCATAAGGAAAACATTTTGTCTTATTTGTATGATTTCTCCTTCTAAATACACGTGTCACTTTGTATCTGATTTGTGTGAGACCCAGGACCCACAGACCCTGTGTCTGCCCCTGCAGCCAGCCCCCCAGGGAAGAACCGCACAGCAGCAAGGATGGACTGTGATGTGCCCAGCCAGGGACAGCGCAGACGGGTTCTGTAATTCACCCAACAATGTCTATAGGATGATCCCCTTTGTCAAAAAAAGAAGTGGGCTTTATTGACGTCACCTAAATGCATCTAAACTTTTATTTTTACTCCATGCCTTTCTGTCATCTTGATCTCTCCCCAAACTTTTAAAAACATGACACTCATTCCATTATTTTTCCATAGAAGAGTATAGATGATTTTATCACAGGAGATTTGAAAAAATAATTTAAAATATAATGAAAACCTTCTCAAATAGTGCCTCTCAGCAGTAACTACTGCTAACATAAATAAAATCCATATTTCTTCTCATGCAGACCCCAGAGTCGCTTTGCCTGACAGTGTAGTTGCTGGAGAAAGGAATCTTTGTCCTTAGCTTCCATTGGTTGCAGACCATGAAGACAGGAGAAAAATTAGGGTGTTGGTAGCTTCATTAGAAACTGAAAGCTCATTGATTTTTGTAAAACCTAAATAGCCTGTGTTTCTCTGAATAACTAATTTGCAACCTTCAGGCAGCCAGGACTGGCAGGAATGGGACTG